GTTCTGAAGAACAGAAGAACAGACCTATCAAGAGAAGAAAAACAAAACAAAACAAAACACCTCACTGCCATTGGGTTGATTCAACTCATAGTGACCTTGTACAGGATTTTGAAACTGTAAATGTGTGTGGGAACAGGCAGTCTCATCTTCCAGGAAAACTTGAACTATGTCATTGATTCACAATTCCCTCTACTGACCACTAGGTGTTGCTAAGCAGGCTTGGTGATCTACCCCAGGAGAGGGAAGAAGGAGTGGCAACTCTTAATATAATCATCATTGTGAGTACTCAGTTGATTAACAAATTTAGGGACCTCCATAGTAGCAAGACATTTTTACATTTGCACCTACTCCAGGGCCTGACACACAGTAAGCACATAATACGCATTTCTTGAAATATGCAGAATTCAGGGTGCACTTTGACACTGTGTTGTTAGTTGCCTTAGAGTCCTGTCAGATTCATAATAACCTGTTGTTGTTGTTAAGTGCCGTCGAGTCGGTTTCGAACCATAGGGTCCCTGATAGGATTTTCAAGGAGCGACTGGTGAGCTTGAACTGCTGAACTTGAGGTTCAAACCCACCTTGCAGTCCAGTGTATTATCCTGCAGCACCACACCAGGAATTAATTCTTTAAGCCTTCTGGGGAATACTAGGGTGCATGAAAAAGTTATTCCAAATTACAAGTAACTTGTCATCTAAACCAAATGGAGATAAGATTTGGTTAGTTTGACCTGGTAACTATGAACTGTTTTCATTGTCTATACAAATATGTTGTTATTGTTAAGTGCCTTCGAGTTGGTTCTGACTCATAGTGACCCTATATAGATAGGGCTTCCAAGGAGTGGCTGGTGGGTTTTATCCACCAACCTTGTGGTAAACAGTCCAGTGTCTGTCATATACCACAACCCCAGGACTCCCATATAAATATTGTGATGGTGGTTGTGCGCCTTTGAGTCAGTTTGACTCTGTATAGGGTTTCCGAGGTTATAAATCTCTACAGTAGCAGTAAGCATCATCTTTCAGGTCAAGTGGGTATTATCTTCATGTGTGGGTGTTCTTATGCATATGCCCTCTCTTCTTATCAGCTGGATGCTTCACTCTCCACT